GTCTCACACCAGCAATACAGGGCACCAAAGTCTTACCCTGCCTCAGTGGGGAGCAAATGCCTATAGGACCCACCAGTGCAGCATGCCACTGTGCCCCAAGGCCACTCTACACTGAGGACAGATGCTGGCCAGCCCGCCTCAAGGTGTCTACAGGACACGCCATGGGGAGGAGAGCAGAGTTCCCAGGGGACCCTTCGGTAGGAAGCAACTTTCCTCCCATCACAGATGGTGACCACTTTCCTCATCAAAGTGGCTTTGTTGTCTCCGTTCGTCTCCTCACTTGGCACCCCGCTCTCATGGCACTTTCAGTTCCTCCACTCATCTGACCTCGGCACTACTATGCTGTGAACATGTCAGATGGGAACATGCAATCAGTGCTTGCCAGCCCACTAACAGACCAAGCTATTATTACAGCAGGCACTGATGTGAGCAGCCACAAAAAGGAAAACAGATTTTTGGGTTCCTCATGTGTCCGGAGCTATCTGCACATCCTGTCCCGGGTTAACTGAAAACATGTGGTCAAGTCCTGCCAGGCTGGCATGCAGCTACAGCCAGAGCTAGCTCTCAAAGCATCTACATCTTCTATTCCCTCACCCCCTTTCTTGAATAAGCCCACTAAAATCTAGCTCAGGAAATGGTGAGATAGCAACATGCTTAAATGTCCTCCTCATCACTGATGTTAATTCTGCAGAGCCTTGCTGTTTCAGCTGCATCCTCTTTGGCTTGCTCAATCCCATGTGAGGGTTACAAATTCCTGCAGGACACTTGTTCTTGCTTTCCTAACACGTTCCTACACCCCAAAGGTATATTACATGTATAATATACATGTCATAAGCCTGAGAAAGTGCTCAAACTAAACTCACTTTGTTCCTATGACACATGGACACCAGTCTGCCACCTGGTACAGACCTGACCTGCTTTGGAAACCTGAGCCTGAGCCATGCCCCTGCAACCAGCCTCTGCACATAGTGACCATGGATGATTCAGGTTCAGCCTGGCTGTGGCAAGGGACATGATGGATGACACACAGCCCAAATGACCTGGGGTCCTCCTAGCAGGGCCCCAGCACCCACACGCTGAGGGCAGAAGGGTTCTGCAGGATGCCCATTTGCAGCCGTGTAGGTAGATCAGCGAGCGGCCAAGGTTTCAAGCTACTCCCTGACACCAGCAGCTCAGTAGATGCACCGGTCCATCCCCAACCTCGCCATCAAGGACACGAGGGTGAAGTCACCACTGAGGCCTCATATCATGGAGGAAGTCTTGAAGGAGTAAAGGCAACAGGCACGCATGCAAAGAAGCGCTGGTGTGGCAGGGTGGCTGCTGGTCCATGGGCTTGTTTGGAGCCACCAGCTCACCTTGAACCCTGGCAGGAGAGGACTCTGCCAGAGGAGGGTGAGACAGGTCTCGCACACAGCAACCTACCCTAGAAAATCCTCCCACTTCACCACCTTCCTCAGCTGGACATGTCATTCATTCATGCATGTAGAGTTTCCTGAGAAGTACTTTTCTTTTTTTTTTTTTTTTAATTTCTTTCAAGTCTGCAGCCGTGTAAATACCAAGTATCCACAGCGTCCTGTGGCACAGGGTTCCCCTGTACAATCTCGCGCTCCATGCAGATCTGCCTCTGGTTGTTTGCTTTGAACCTGCCACCTGCTACTTTTATTTGATGTCCCTGAAGTACTTGTCTGAGAATGAACAGTGTACAATCACTCTTTATTTTGTAATGAGGTCGCTTTGTTTTGAGTAGCTGTTGTCCAGGTGCCTGCTTCTTTCTAAGTTACTGGTGAAAGCTCCCAAGTGCCTCATGGAGACAGATCAGGCATTTGTAATTTTTTCTTCATTTTTCCTAAACATTACTGGCATGATGCATTGCAAAAGTCTGCCAGTTGTTACCACAAATGGCTGAGACTTCAAACAGCAAATAAATACTCGCTACTCTTGCCTGGGCATATGTAACCTATTTGTACAAGCTCCGTGCATCACTATCTGCAGGCACCTGCAAACACACTGCCTCATTCATGCCCTTCCCCAGCACAAGCTCTTCTGCCTATGCCCCAGATGCACGTCCACCTGCATCCCTCCCGCCAGGCCCACGCTTGCTTGCATGCACGTTGCCTGTTGCCTTTACTCCTCCAAGACTTCCTTCCACTTAAAATATAAATAACATGTCATAAATATAAATGACACAACCATATAAATGCCATTGTAAATGCACTCTGTCTATACGCCCACACTGTATCAGCACATACCCCATCCAACCCTAACCTGATATACATCCTTGAATGCATTCTTCCACTCCACGCCTTGGCACAACATGCTGTGCAGCTTCAGAAAGAGCAAGTGAAAGCCCTAAGTTTTTTGGAAGAGATGGTCTGTCCGGCTGGAAATTCTGCTTCTTAGTTGTTTCTGTGCCGAGCCGTGTTTCAGTGGCCTCCATCTAGCCTGGGGCAAGAGCCCTGACCCTAGCAGTGCTGCTGATTTTGCCCATTTTCCTAGTCAATCTGGCAGGTGGGCAGACGGGCCAGCACTCAGCATGCAGCTGGAAATGGGCTGGTAGGTGTGTTTTCCAAGCATCATCATGCTTTGCAGCACACAGATGGTGAGTGTGCCGCAGGTGGGCTTAGCATCAAGCCCTGTCAAAGACCCAGGTGAGCACAGGGCACCGTGCTTGTGGCTGACTGTAGGAGTACAGAGATTTCTGCACAGATGAAACATACAGAGACATAAATATATAGATATCATGTGTGTGCATGCATGTACATACAAGTGTGTAAGAAAATGTTTGGACAACACAAGAAAAGCCGACCTTGTGCACTGGCTGTGAAGGGATTCACCGAATCTCAGGATACACATAGAAAAACTTACTTCACTGCTGCTGTGAGCTTGGTTCCCATCTGTTATTTTTATAAGGCCATAACATTAACCTAATTAATTTAATTTATTTGGAGAACAGTATTAGGCTAAACCATCCCACTTAAATCACAGAGAAGCCGTGGTCAAGCTCTTCAAACAGCCTCCTGTCCCCACTCACCCTCCTGTAGATGGTTAACACAGCTGAGTACAGCGCGCCTGGGCTGCACCTTGGCACACCAGCCCTCCTCTCCTCGCAGGGTTTGTTTTCTGCTCGGAAGGGAAACACCTGCACGTCTCCGAGCGAGATCGGCTCAAAGCAGAGAAAGATCTCAGCCTAGGAGTTACGGACTCCCCCTCACCGAGCCATGACCCAAACCTTGTGGGAGGACTAACTCTGGAGCCTGCAGCTCCAACAAAGCAGAGGTCCTGAGGGACCCACGCCAAGCTGACCACATCACGAAGTGCTTTGCTCGTGCCCCAGCCGGCGCCCGTGCCCGCTCCAGCCGTGGAGGGAGCGTTTGCACAAGGTGTTTTGGAAGGCACAGAGGTGAGCAGCCCCGCACTGATGTACGCCAGAGGCAGCAACGGGGTGCAGTGGAACAGCAAGGAACAGCCTTCATAAGACCACAGATCAGCTCTCGTTTCCCTGGTTTCTGCTGATGGCTTCCACAGGGGTCTTTGGCAAACTGTTCCCCCATGCCAGGGTCCGGGATCCAAATGAGGCCAATGTCCTCAGCCTCCTTTGTCAGCTACGCTGGTAACCACAGCTGAAAAGTACCCTGTAAGATCTTTGTCAATGCCATTAACTTGCTTGCTTTCAGCTTCCAGGCCTATCATATTTTACCACAAAAGCTGCCCTTTACGTTTTGCCGTTAACTCGGCGGCCCAGCTTGCAGGGAGAGATGAGGGGTGGGCATAATTGAACTTAACCCAGACGCATGCCAGGGGCCCAGACTACAGCCCTGGGGGCAGCAGGAGCAGCCCTGCACCCCAGCTCACCCCGGCCAAATAGCTGACTGCACACTGCAAAGCTTTACACCCACTTTCTGCCGCTCTGCCTGTTGTGCTCTGGTTTCGGCACGATAGGTGCCCGGCTGATACAAGGTCAGCACATCCCTCTGCACATTTATATACTTACAAACAAGCTTGACCTGATGGAAGCCTACAGATGATCAGGGTTTGTGGAGCCATAGCGCCCACGGTGTTTTCAAACTGCATCTGGGGCCCCAAAGCTGGGTGCGCTGAGCAATCAGGTTGCTTTGGAAGAAACATCACAGAAAAGGGCAATTCCATACAGGAGGTATGAGAACAAAGGGCTTGAGGGAGTCAGTAAGTCCACCTTACAACCCTTGCAAAACGGGCCAAGGCCAATTAACAATGAGCTGCAGCTGACAGAGAGGAGAGGATTTCAAGATAAGAGAGATGGCAGGAAGCCTAGAGATCAGAGCTTGGAAGGAAAGCAGAAAAGGCCTCCTGGGAATGAGACTAAGTAGGACTGCTAAGGGAATTTAGGCTAGTATCTCTCAGGGGGCCTTAGAAAAGGGGACATAGGTAATAGCCTTGTGAGGTGCTGGTTGAGATACAGAGCTAGGAGTGCAGGGGAGAGACAGGAATTAGCTCAAGGAGATAGCAAGGGGTGGGGAGTGCACATTGCAAGTACCTGAAATGCAGTTTTCAGAGCAAGATCCAGAATAAGGAGCACAGAGTTCTGCTACTGAGGAGGATGAATACCCTGGCTGTAAGCAAAAGGGCTGCTGAAAACCTTGGGATAGAGACATAAGACTTACTGAGGCTAAAATTATAAACCAAAAACCTGCTGTGTGGTAACCCACCCTTCTGTTTTGGCACAGTGGAGACCTCCAGACAGGTCACATTCAACAGCCTCCCAGCAACAGTCAGGTCACTCAAAAGCCAAAGCACCTTCTTGGTGAGGGAAGCACCAGTGAGGGACAATATACGGTATCAGGGCTGGTGTCAAAGGGAGCAGCTGCACAGGGAGCTCCTCTTACATGCAAAGAACCTGGCCTTGGGATTTGGGAGTGCTTGGGCCTGGCAGTGCCGTGTCATAGCTCGCTCTGCTCCATCCCCTCCTATACCCCTCCCCACAAACACCCAGATGGCAGCAAACGCACGAGACCCACCAGAGGTGTGAATATAGCAGCTGTTACACTTTATTTCATTGTTGTTTCTTTTTTTATTATTATTATTATTTTTCCTTCTGATTGAAAAAAACAGAGAAAAGTTACAAAAGTACTAAAAGGCAACGATACCGGCAGGACATCCCCGTTCCCCGCTCCCACCCTGGGGGAAGGCAGCCTGCCGCACCCACGGGCTGGCAGAAACACATCTCTGGGGCCAAGCACCTCGGCAGCTCTCACTGAGCAAAGCCTGGGGGCGCACGCCCACGCGGGGACTGCCACCCCAACCACCTCCACGGGGAACGTGCCTCTTCAGACAGGTACCAGGCAAAGGCTGTCCCTTCTCCTGAGCACAGGGGTTTGGTCCAAAGGGGCAACACTTTCCGTCCTGCGCTGGTCAGCTTGATCTGGCAGCAGTTAAAAAGCCGAGGCGTGCCATCAAAACAAGATAAGCAGATTCTCTACAGGGGCGGGAGGAATTGGCAAAGGAATCAGCCTCTGTTGGAAGAAGGGGCTTCTTGCAGGGAAAGACAATGCTCTGCCAGAGGTACCTCACTAGCAAACGCAAGCAACCCCTCGGAGGTGGTGGCGGTGCAGGGGGTGGCCCAGCTGTGACAGTCTGGAGCCAAAGCGCAGGCAGAGCTGGGGCAGCATCAGGACAGATGTCCCCTCACCGCCTTGCCCAGCAGCTCTGCCTGCCTGAGTGAGAGGCAGCTGGGGAGAGCGGAGAGTAGGGGTGGGGGATTGAGGTCCCCAGGCCTACATGGCCTTTGGGCTTTCCCCAAGGGTCTCAGTGAAGGGCCCAGAAAGCACCAGCGAAAGCTGGTTCACTGTGTGGTCTCCTACTGGCAGCTGGACTGACCATTGGTCTCATCCAAAGAGTGGCATCAAAGACCTCCACACTGGAACAGATTTAAAAATAAAAATTATTTTATATTACTGACAGTTGCCCCTCTTGATTCAGACAAGAAGTGAACTACTCGCTCCCCCTCGCACTCAGCCAGATGCAGGCTCAAGGTGGGGAACACCTAGACAAAGAGGTGCAGCAAGGGGAAATGCCTTGTTCCTTTGCCTCACCAAGAGAGGTGAGAGCTTGTTCTATTAGCTGTTGCCTTGTGACACAAAACACATACACGCCTCAAGGCCCAGTCAAACTCCAGTTGTAGCAAGGCCTAGCATGGTCCTCGCTGCCTTAGGACTGTTTATGGAGAAATGTCCCACAGTTTCACCCAACCTCCCTTACTGTTTCTTCCACCACCAAGTGGCCACAACACAGAGACCTTTCTCTCACTCCATGCTACATCTGGGAATACCTGTTCCACTGATACAAGGAGAGTCTACCTGAATTTAATAGCCAGCATAACAGGGGAGTGGAAATCTTGATGGAGACATTAGATCTGATGGAGTTTGGTGATACCAGTTACTTTCAGCATCATGTGAGGGCAGCAGGGTATTAGGACAATGCTATGAGAAGTGCTGCATATCCCAGCACACAGACAGCCTCATCAGAGAGGAGACCCAAGAGCACACAGTCACCCCCAAATTCTTCTCTCTGATGATGCTGAGAGGACTGAGGGCGGCCATTGTGTTTTCTTGGATGGATGAACACAGACCTTTCATTCTAGAATTTTATTCTAACCCCCAATCTACAAGTGGGATGCTCATGCCTCCCATGTCAATCCCATTTTAGACGGTATCACAAAGTTGCCAGCAGACCAGCTAGAACATAAAGCTAGATGTGCCAGTTGCTCCCTCCCGCCTCCCTCTCCTAGGGTCTTCCACTCAAGAGAGCTTGAAGTAAATGCAATTAAAACAGAGAGGGATCATTTTTCTTTGAAGGCAGCCCTGCATAGCCCCTGTTTCCAATCCTGAGCTCAGTTCTGAGTAGGAGAAGGGTCAGGTCTATTGCAAAGCACTGTAGACCCAGATACTCCTGGCAAACTGACTGGATTTGGTTTCACACCCCGATCACTCACTCCTGCTGCCATGTAGGCCATACCAGCACCTGAACCCCTCAGGGATATCTTCAACTACCATCATCCCCGTACTTGACATTGCCTTGGTGGCTGCCCTTGCAGTTTGTAGACCTGACTGGTTTGTTTTGCCCTGAAAGACAAAAAAATCTCTCCCTTTGCCACTATTCAGATATGGCAATGGTTTGAAAACAGGCACTGCTGGAAAGCCGTATGCTTCCTGCTGCCAGAGAGGCTGTATTGCAAAGATAGATGTGTCATTGTCCCCTTCTTCTCCCACCCAACCCCTTGGGTATCACCACCTCCCCTTCTCCCTGCCAGGCAGGCAGTTGGTTGATAGTTCCTGAGGTTTTTGGAGAAACTCCTTCAGTAGGCACATGACGGTTCTTCCACTGGAGCTATCGGGCTCAGCGGCTTCAAGGTGCTGAGGGAACGGAAGGCAAAGGTGGATGGATCATACACAAAGTGGGGCGGCGGGCGACCCCCATTGATGCTCTGCGGAGGAATAAAAAGAGAGATGAAGTCAGTGCTCATATAAGCTGCAAAAAGTGACATTCTTGCCTCAGGTGCTTTGTCACCATCCCTCAGTGGTACAGTTACCTCCTTGAATGGATGGTCATGCTTGTACTTGCAGCAAATGACACTAACAAAAGCAGTGAGGTGCTTTTGCTCATGTCCTTGCTCCTACCTCTTAAGAAAAAAGCATACGCAACCCCACTCCCTGCTCCAGAACTGAGGCCCCTGGGATCCACCTGACCAGGACCCATGGCACCTGTAGCCACTAAGTGAAACAGGATATCCATGCTGCATTTAGAGTCCCAGAGTCAGAACAGCATCACTGCCAGAAGGTATCACATGGAAAAACTAAATTCAGATTCACTTGGCCTTGAAGGAGGATCTACTACACTTTTAGAGCAGGGAGATAAGCCAAGTAATCTTTGAAGACTCATTCTTCAGTTCTATTTTTAAACAGCTCTTCAGTAAGGATTTATAAATCACCCTTTCTTAATCTATGAAGCCCTAGACACATTGAAACTCTCCAGAGTTTTGCTTCCAGTCTCCAAAGTTCAGTGAGAAATGGCTGACAGATGCTCGGAGGAAAAGATCCCATCTGAAGGCCTTATAGCCTAGCTTGCATCATGGACACCAAAGACCATTCTCTCCCCTTTTGCTCCCAGTGTTCAGAGCATGGTCAGAGTAGATCCAGAGTAAGGAGGCCAGAAATTCCTGTGCACTCCCTGTACCACGTGACAGGCCAGAAATGCTGCTCCCCACTAGGCTGTGCTGGGACTCGTGGTTCCCAGATGAATTATGGTGCCAAAGAAGTGACTCCACTCTGTTAAATATAAAGTGTTTTCCTTTTACTTCTTGGGAATTTTGTTCTTTTCTTATGCAAGCAGAAGCATCAGTGGGGCAGCTGCTTCATAAACACTCTTTGGCCCGGAGAGGAAGCCTCAATGCTCTATGGACCAGCAGAGTATTTAAACATAATCCTACAGAGTTAATTCCCCAGGGTTAGGTGTGAGCTACTGAGTGCCACATGCTGGGAAGTTCAGCAGCTCAGAAACTCATGCAAATGTCCCCTACCCTCATCTCACTTCTACTACTGCTGGGAAGGGCTTTATCATTGCTTTCATTGAGGTTAGAAAAAACCCAGTGAGAGATCTGGCCTGAGTTCTGGTGTTATGTGCCTCTCTGCTGCCTCTTCTGAGCCTATCCTAGCAGGACCCATGGTTTTCCTTGCTCAGTTTACACTAAGAAATAGGCTTTCCTCAAAGAAATAGGCTTTTTAGGAACAATTGAGTTCATTTTGGCACTTCAAAGTCAGGTCTATCAGACAGCTACAACCACCCAACAGCACGGCAAGGTGATGTTTTGATGCCACCTGCCTCCTGGCTGGGTTTTAACTTGTCATCAAAGGACAACCACATGCAACTTTTCCCAGAAAGCTGCTCAAATGGTCAGGCTCACCCAAATAGTCATACCAAATCAGAGAGCGCTACGGCAGTGTCCAAGCCAGGCCCTGGGTGCTGCAGTCACTGCAGCAGGATATGGAAGCCTCTTCCTCCAGGATCCTGGTCACAGCTTGGCCCCATGGGGCAGCCTTCATGTCAGAAAGGGCCTCTTTAATAGCCAGTGTGGGCAGCGTGTTCCTGCCTAGTTGGTACCACCTCTGCAAATTAAGATGGGCACTTGAGAATGGAAAATGCCAACATGGTGCTTGGCATCAGCTGTGCCTGGAGTTTCAGCCAGCAAATCATGCCCTGCTACATCCCCCTGACACCTTGGCCAGCAGCATAAGAAACAAGAGAGGCAGATTTAAGGGCCTTTACTCAATAGCCACCTGCTGTGGGGTTATATATGGTGTGTGCTCTGGCAAGCCTCAGAGCTGGAGGGTAACATAGCAACCCCTATTCAAAGCTAAGGGGCAGAATAAATCAGCACATTTGTCCTTCTCCAGAGCAGAGAAGGTCCCCTGCCAGTGCCAAGAGGGAATGGGAACAAAGAACCTGGCAGTCCCCTCCATTTTGAAATGCCAGACAGGATTAGGGAAGGCAGCTGAATCAGTTCATTTCTGGCGGACGGCAGATGAAGAAAAGACTGGGGAAAGACGGGTCCAGAGGACAGGCGAAAGTCATCCACAAAATTCACCAGGCTTTGGGTGGGAAAGCGCCCTGTGGTTTCTGTCTGGGCCTTCTCCTGGGGCCAATGTGTGGGGCAGAGAGCCTTCCCAGGACACTGTGAGGGAGCTGAGCACAGAAGAAAGGCAGAGGTGAAGGACAGGGTCATGAAAGAGATTCACGGGTGGTCAGGCAGCTCCAAGTAAGACTCAAAGTGGACCCAATTCTGCCTTTTCATCGTGGCACCTTTCAAGTGGCCACAAGATGATGGCTGGCTTTCAACAGCGCAGCCACCACAACAGCAGGCAAGGGCCCTGTGTCCAACTGTAGGTGGTAACACAAGAGGCAGTAATGCAGCTGCCCTTATTCATGCCAACACTGACCGACCTGTAGTCATTTAAAACCTTGAGCAGTATGGGTCTGTCTTACACCTACTCTATGACTTACAGGGCAGCACCTCTGCTAGGGACCTTGCTGGAGGGAAAAAAGAGCACTGGCACCAAACCACTCCACTCTTTTTGCAGAAGAACATGTTTTCTTCAGAGCTTGTATCCTGCTCTAGAGATGACCAGGCCTGATCTGGCTTAGTCCACGACACCATTTGGGATCACAGCATGTGGTGGTCTGGCTCTGATGAGTAGCACAAGGCAAAGCTCTGTAGATGTATTGCCAGAAAGAAGACGGATCAGGCCAGCTGCCAGAGAGGAGAACACGTTCCTCCCACCCTGTCGCTTGAGCCAGCTGCCTTCCTGCAGTCTGGGCAAGTGTCCTAGCCAGCCTGCCCCTCCCCTGGGGCACCCAGCACCAGGCTGTGATGCCTGGGACATGGCTTTGACTATGGAAGGCTGTTAAGAGTTGCTGTTGCCGCAGCAGGCCTGCAGGGAGCTTGCCATAAACCTGCCTGACAGTCCCTGCTGAGCAACCGCAGGCCAGCTCCTGAAGAGGCTCCTTGGAGCACAAACACTCCATACTTGACATTAAAGGCCGGTGCATTCACTCTAATGGCATTTGGGCAGCTGGGTAACTCACACAAAATGGAGCCTAATATGGGCCCTGTGCTAATGGCAATCATTAACCAGAACCCTCAATTTGTTAAGCAATGTATTTACACAGCTGGAGAACAGCCTGAGATACAAGCACTGGGCTGCCAGCAGGGCACACACGCTTGGATGCATGCTCTGTCACACACCCCCATGCTCACTTGCACACACTCACCTGCTCTCATACATCTCCGGTTCTTCCCAGTACACGTGAACTTCCCTGGTCACTTGTCCACATCCCTCCATTCACACACAGACCTCCTCCTGACTTGGAAATCACAAGGAGGTCTGTACCCACTCATACAAATCTTGCCCACTCACACTGTTTAAGACAAGCAGGGCCCAACCTCCACCAGCTTCCAGGGGCACAGTCCAAGGGAGCACAGCTCATCACTTGCTCATAAAACTGCCTGGAGCAAAAGGTAGTTTCAATACCTGCAGACACCCATGCTGCCTCACTGCATGCCTGATTTGAGTTAGATGAGCTCCTAAGGGAGCTAGCTTGTGTTACACACATTTCAAGCAACTATGCATAGACCACCTCGGTCACACACACTTGTCAGCATTCACCCAGACACACACTTCTTCCCTCATATATGCGTGCCTACGTACACACTCTTGCAAACCTGTACTGTAGCCACCAATTGCATTATCACTATTAAATACAGGCGGTAAATGAGCAACCGGACTTGAAACATGTCTGAAACACATTAACAAAGAAGCACACCTAAAGATGGTACAGATAGTGACTGGATGCGGATGCCCTAAAGATGACCAGTGAGGTTAAACACCGCAGAAGAAATGCAGAATTTCCATCATATTAGCAGCCCTCAGAAAACAGAGAAATGGGCAACTGCTCCATAAATCCATCTGTAACATAACTGTATGTTTCAGCAAGGAAAAAGTACGTAGGAAGAAGATAAAAAGGTAAAGGATGAATCTACTAATACAAACCCACATTCCTCCTAGAAACCCGTCCCCTACCACTATGAAGTCTGGGAAAACATCCCAAACGCAAGTTGTGAAATAACTTAATTTTGGACTCATGATTCCACAGAAGCACGTTTTTCTTCTTCAGACAAATCAAAAGCAAGCACAGCTCCAAGCTTGCTTTTAGCTGTGAGAATGACAATCCCCACAGGAGGAGGGAAATGAAGTTACCTAACACAACAATGTCTTTGAAGGGAGTGGTGTGCTAGGGGTGATACAAAACCAAGATCTGCCTGATACTCTTTGGTCCTCTTTCATAACAGCTCTAGTATGCTGGCAGGATTCAAAATCGGATCAGCTTGTGCACTCTGCCAACCCGTTCCCCAGTCAGGGCCAATCCAGCACAGGAGTCCCTTCTTTCTACCCTTGGGCACTGGCAGTTGGGAAACGCTGCTGAGCTCCATTTAAAGGATGCTGCCTTCCAGTGGTAGATGCCTCTCAGTGGTGGGTGAATGATCCTTTTGCAGGCTGTAGACTCACTTGTTAAAAGTCCTTTGGGGTGAAAGGCACCATGTAATTGCAAGTTGTAAAGGCGCATCCGATTCCCACCACCACCCTGCGTGGAAAGGAATAAATCCCCAGAAGAGCCTTGGCAGGGACTGATGCCTGCCTGCGATGCTGCCTGTTTGTGAGACAGCTGCCTTGCCCTGGAGAGGCATCAGAGCCAGAGGTAGTACTGATATTCAGGCAAGGCACAGAAAGCATAAAGGCTGTCAGACTCCACAGTGGAGCATTTACTGGTACACTGCATTTACTGGTACACTGCTTTTAATTCCACTTCGTCCTCCTTACTCTCACCCCTGCCAGGTGGTTAGAAAAGAAACCAGTGACGCTTCAACTTTGA